TATATATATATATATATGAGAGACGAGGTGTTTCTGCTAAGCACTTCACTTGCTGTCCTGTAACATACTCTAAAGACCAGGCTGGCCTCAAACTTGCAAAGATCCACGTCCCTCTGCCTCCCAAGTTCTGGGGAAAAAGGCTTGACCCATACTACTCAGTGAAATAACTATTATTAATGCAGTATGTTTTGGTTTCTTTGACTCTTCATTGAGCTTGCTTTGTCACCTTTAACTTTCCAATACCATGCTCTTCAGAGCTTCTGAGGTGAAGGATAGTTCATGAAATGAAAGAGCACTATTACACTCTATGAAAGTTTTAACATTTAAATGTACACTAGGTCTTCCTTAACAATACATTATAGATCTTGGTTGGGTCATCAATGAAGGTGAATAAAACATATTTTGTCATCACTAAAATATGACCATATCATCAGGAAAGTCTCTTGAATTCAGTGTTGTTATTTTGTCTAGCAATTGGGGATAGAAACTCAGGAAGATAAAACTTCATTCTTATGCCTTGATGAAATAAGTGAGTGTCAAAACTAGGGGTTCCTTAAAAGATTAGAACAACTTCTTGGAAGAGGGGCCACAACCAAGTATGCATTTTTCATGTTACAGATACACTTAGCAATACAGAGAATTAGTGATTTTGTAATGGAGGGAAAATTTTAAAATATGCAAGTGACTCATGGTCACAGATGGTGCTGAACACATCAAACATGGAAGGAAGTCTCAGACACAAAATGTCAGTAGTTTTTCCATCAAGAATTCCTAATTTCAAACATTTCTATCCCATGGATCGAGCATACATGTATAAAGAGCAAAGCCATCCATAAGAGGGAGGAGAAAGTAGAATGTTACTCTGAACTGAAAGAAAATTATGATTTGGCAATCCAAATACCAATATTTTGTAGGAAACATAAAAAACAATAGTCTTTTTCACAAATGATTTCACAGCTGGTGCTCTCGGAAGTTTTTGTCTTACTTCCCCATGATTCTCATCACTGTGTCTATTGCTACTATCATCATAAGACTGGCAGTAGTAGTCAGCCTCATCCTCAATCTGCAGATTAGTGATGGTCAGAGAGGCTGAGTTGGAGGAGCTGTCAATGGAGCCAGAGAACCGATCAGGAATCCCAGATGGTCTTTTATTGTCACCATAGATCACATTGGTGGGTGGACTTTCAACGTGTTGCTGGTACCAGTGCACAAAGTAGCTTCCAATATTACCACTGCTGCGCTTGCAGGAGATGGTGACTGTGCTCCCAAGAGACCCAGAAACAGAGTTTGGCTGAGTTAGCAGAACCTGGGCACATGACCCTGTAAAAGGAAGATAATAAAAATCAGTAAGGACAAGCAAATCTCATTCACAAGGAAGAATATTCCAAGCAACAGTTACTCTCCCAGAATTGTTTAAGTCCACTGACCTCTTAATTGATGAAGGAAAATGAGAAGTAGTGGAGTCCAAGCCATGGTGTAAACACCCAGAATCGTCTTCCTGAGTTCAATGGACTGATTGAAGCTGGGTGCCCCTTTTTATCTGGCTCTGCGATTCTAAGTTCAAGCTGTTTCCATGCAAATGTCCCTCTTACTTGGGATGTATAGACCCCTCCCTTTACTTCAGATTGAGTGTCACAGAGAATTTGAGAGATTACACATGCAGAGGACTTGGGCTCCACCAAGTGGCAGGATAGAAAAACCTTAAGATGAAGAAAAAACATCAGAAACTAAGGAAACAACTCTCCCCAAAGCAACCATGTTCTTTCATCAGGTGAATGTCTGCTAGGTCCCCCTCCTACCAATTGTGAGACAATTTTGGAAGCCACATATCTCCATCTGGACTCTGAATGGAAAGTAAATTATCCGTTAATGTAATTCTGTATATGTCAATAAAGGCAGTGAGTAACCCACTTTATTTTGCATAGAGAATCAATCCCTTTATAGGCACAACTTTTTTTTTTTTTACTCTAGAATACTGGTTATTGTAATAGTGGTCATTTCTCCATATTGTATTGTCATTTAGAGTGGATTTCGGCAGTGCCTGCCCTAAGTGTGCTTGTTGTTCCTGTAGAGGAAGTGATTTTGATTGCTAGCAACCATGTCAGACAGCTCACATCCTCCTACAATTCAGACGATAAGGGATCAGATGCCTCTTCTGGCCTGCTCAGGTACCCAAACACACTTGTTACCACACACACACACACACGAGTGCACACACAGTCGATTTATAAATAGCCTACCATCTGCTGTTCACATATTAGGTCCAATGAAACAGTGAAAAATCGCTGTTGAAATCTTCAACATAAGTTGTAAGAGAATCTTTAGTCTAACAGTTGAAAATTTACAGAGTTTTAACAGTCTTACAACAGAGAACAACATATCAAATTTTGTAAGCTGAGACTAAGTTGCGGAACTTGAAAATGTTTAGTTTCTGAATCTTTCTTTTCTATATTAAGTAGGTAATGTCCATGAAATCATTAAATTTTTTGTTCGTGGAAATATATTTCTCCTGACAATGACTGCAACAGAATAAAAGAGGAAATATGAAGTAGAGTTAAGAGTTGACTACTTATGTATTGAATGGAATCAAAGAACCGGAATTAAACCACAAAGGAGTTCTTGGGGAATATTTTCCAATGGCATCACTACATGTGCAAGTATATGGAGGAGAGTAGTGATTTCTGAATGACTATTTCTTGCCAACAGCACTGTCCTATCCAGATCAGTCCATCACTGTCCTTTAATAGGCAAAAACATGACCATACAACGTATATATGGATGAAACTACTTCTTCCAGAGAAGGTATTGAAGTAAGGCTAAAAAAACATGGTTACACAAGAAAGGAAAAACAGGCTTCCTACAACTGTCATGTCTTCTTCCTCAAAAAGTCTTCAAGAGAAAATAGCTAGAAATCACATGGTTAATCATCAATACAGAAGCAGTCTGGGAAAAGAGACACTCAGAGGTCCTGTACATTACCAAAGCTAGAATCTGTTTAACAGACATTTGGTCTTCTCCAATTCTAAATGCATAAAACTGTCACTGTCCCCTTCTCTACAACTTCTTCTCTTTTTCCTAGTCATTCATTTCTTTGTCCATTCCAGAGGATGACCTTCGAAATTCCCTAAACAAATACCAGCACACCAGTTACATGCCTTGGGTTCTCTCAACTAGAATTGGAGATGAGTTCTTCTATAGGTCCTCTACATGACTGAAAATCTCAGAAAAGGACTTATAAATAGCCATGACCCATGTGGTACTAAAATATCCTTTCAAAACTAAATGATAGTTATCCACAACTGCCTGATAGGAAATTCAGTTATCTCCGCTGAAAGTGTGGAGAGTAGGGGCTTGTGCTCTGATTGAGCAGGCTGGAACATGATTTCAACCTTAAGAAACAGGGCAAAGACTTGTGCAGCTACTCTTCAGTCAAATAATATGGTAAACAAGATTCACAAAGAACTGATTCCTTTTCTACTTCATTAAGCACTAAGCATTTCTGCTTTTTGTTTTTAAAATTTTGTTTTTTTTTTATTCCAGTTTTCAATACCGGGCTTTTATATAGTTTTGGAGCCTGGCCTGGAATTAGCTCTTGTAGACTAGGTTGGCCTTGAACTCACAGAGATCCGACTGCTTCTTCTTCCTGTGTGCTGGTTTAAAGGCATGCATCACCACTACGCACCTTGCTTTTGTTTTTTAATATGCTGTGGGAAACATTAATTTCTGAGAGTGTTTTGAACTTTAGATTTTAGATAGACATGATAATTCAGTAAGGAATTCAGTAAGGCCATTGGAGTCACCTCTCACTTCAATAAGAATCAATAGAAAAGAATGCCTCCACTTCTTTTTAGTGGGAAAGAGGATGCAGTTACTAACCACTATGTGAGTAAATTGCCCAGATGATGCTCTGGTAAAATGCAGAGGGAAACAAAAAGATCTGGAGATGTTCCATTGTAGCTTCTTCTGTCTACAAATGGGACAATAGTCAGCCAAGTCTCCTCTACACAGTGTTCTTACTCATTTGGGATCTCTCAGATTCATAGGCCATTCTAAAGGAATACAGGGACAGAGACCCACATCAGAGTACTGGACTGAGCTCCCAAGGTCCAGTTGTAGAGTAGAAGGAGGGAGAGTATGAGCAAGAAAGTCAAGGGCATAAGGGTTTGGTCCACCCACTGAGACAGTGTGCCTGATCTAATGGGAGCTCACCAAAGACAGCTGGACTGGGATTGAATGAGCATGGGACCAAACTGGACACTCTGAATGTGGCTTACATTTAGGGCATACTGAGAAGCCAATGATAATGGCACTGGGATTTGTCTCTACTGCATGTACTGGCTTTTTGGGATCCTATTCTATTTGGATGCATACCTTCCTAAGCCTGGATGGAGTGACTGGCCTTCTCACAGGGCAGGGTGCCCTACCCTATCTTAGGACTGGAGGGGGAGGGTAGAGGGCTAGTGGGGGCACAGGAGGGAAGTGGAAGGAGAGGAGGAAGTGGAAATTTTGATTGGTATTATTTATAAAGTAATTAAAAAAGGAATAAAGGAGATTTTTCTTTCTTTACCCTACTTAAACAAATCACTGCTGTGAGAAGATTTTGGCATGTGCTAAGAAAAAGATGGATCACTTTTTCTAGATTGAGGTCACAGATTTCTGATTTTGCTAAGCACTCCCTCCAAATGTTTTCTACTAAGGAAGTGCTGTCAGGACAGGTAGGCAGGGGTGCATTAGATGCAGCAGAAACCTCTCACTGTTGAGGAGCAGGAGAAAAAGAAGCCACTAAGCTTTCAGGCTCTGAAGTCAGACAGCCAATGAAATAAACAATGCCTGGTGTGGAGAGTGGAGTCAGAGAAATGTAGATGCCCAAGCACTGTGGAGCCAAGAAAAGCATGAGTGAATTCCAAACACTGAAGACTTAGCTGTAATGAATGTATTTGTGACCTGGTTCTTCCCTATTGGGTTAGAAAGTGTGATTCTAACTGACTCTCTGAAGTTTCTGCAAGAGACTATTACTGAATTGGTAATTGAAATAGTTCTCAGAATCAGACATACTAATGTTTGCTTCTGGGCTTCCAATGGCATGCCATTGGCCCTTTGTACATTAAGATAATATGCTGGAACCTACCTGACTCCTTTCTGAAACATGCTTTGTCTCCATCTCTATGAACTTGTGTGAATTACTGATAACTGGAACTATCTTCACCTTAGTTTTGAAATCATGTGAGTCTGGAATGGAGCAGTATCCACATTGTATGTGCTCAGTAAATTTGGCAAATGGGACTACTAATACCACTCCAAGCTTGTGTGGTTTGTGCTATATCAAATGCTTTGAGGACTGGTGGCATCATAAATACCTTGGAATACAAATAGAACTGTGGACAATCTGGACCTGAATCTCTGAACCAGAGACAAGATAGAAATATGACTGTATATGAAATATTAATGGAGGAAATAGGAAGATGACAAGTGTCTGAGCCATGTTTAAGGCATGAAAATTCTGGTACTTGTACTGCCTTTTCCATGATGTATTAGACTGAGCTAGCTGATCCCTGTTGAAAGACTAAATATCCAAAATTAATCAAAGAAAAGTATGAAGTGAGGATGGGAAATGGGCAATTCTTCCCCAATTCTTCAAACTCCACTTCTCAATATCAATCTCATTGCAGATAGTAAAACAGACTCCAACATCCCTCTGCTCAGTAGACTTCTCAAACACTTGACTCACAAAGGTTCATAGTGCTTTCTGGTTAGGTGAGTCTAAAGTTACCAAAAGATATTACAAACTATCAACAGTTGGTCATCAGAAATCTATCCAGGGTCTCAGGTTAAAAAATGACAAATTAAATAATTCTAATGACTTGATCTTCTTTTCTCATGGGTGTTTACTATCACTCCCCAAATACAATTATAAAGATTAATTTCTTAATGGAAAGTTTGACTATTCCTTTTCCCAATGCACAACTTGAACCTATTGGACAAATTTGTACTGTGTACAAAAAGAGCAAGTTCTTTGTGTCCAGTCAATATTTACTAGAATCAACAGCAAGTCATGTGTTCTGTGTAAACCACTACATTCGCTTTGTGGAGGATTACAGGCTTTTTGTGTATTTACTACTTATGCTTATTTATATCCAAATACCCTGACATGGTAGATCACTCACTTTATTTATGGTATAAAGACTGCCTTGTGTTTTCTGTAAAGTTTACTTGATAACTTACAAACCACATAGTTTAACAATATATACAAGGGTAATATTAATTTATATGTTTGCAATTTGCATTATTTTAATAAAGTACTGTTATACAACATTATCTTCCAAGTAAAACTACTGCTGTGACAGATGTACAAACTTGCAAAAGATATCACAGCTAGGCTTTGTGGCCATTAATCTTATCATGCCTCATAAGGTAAAGACATGAAAAATTAAAAAAAATACTTTGCTTTATCAGGAGCTAGTTAAGATACTGGGTTCAAAAAACTTTGCAACATCAAGAGTTGGTTGAAAACAGGAACCTTTGCAAAAATACAGTCTATGAAATGTTCCTAGCAGATA